TGAGCAGGTGCCGCACCTTCTGCTGACCCCAGAGGCCAGATCCTGTGGCCAGAGTGAGGCATGGGAGTTGAGATCAGGCAGATGAAAACCCAAATCTGAGCCTCCTGCAGGGGGAGGAGGCCCCTCTCCACTGAACATCATGGCCCACGGGGACTGGGCAGGGAACCCGAGGGCCCACACTGGGGACTGGGTCTGGAGGGACAGCTGGGGAAGCAGGAGGAAAGGCAGGAAGGACAGTAGGAGGAGGCAGGAAGGAAGGGAAAGGAGCCGGGCCTGGGATGACAGCAGAGGAGGGCCGAGGCCCAGGCAGGGCTTCCTCAGGTGCCTCTGGGTAGAGAGCCCTGGTCTGGCTCAGGAGGCCCAGGCACTGGTCTCAGACCTGCCACCACCTGTGTGATGCTGGGCCGAGCGTTCCCCTTCCTTGGGCCTCAGTTTCCACCGCTGTAAAGTGGGGAGGGGTGAAACTGAAGCTCTCCCCAGCCTATCACAGTCGTTGAGGAGAGAGAGGCTGTGGTCAGGGGCTGTGGGGCCCATGCTGAGGAGACAAGGCCCCTCCTCTCAGAGTGGATGGGGCCCAGGAAGGGGGTGGTGTGCACCATGGGGGAGCAGCCTGGGCCTATGGGCTCCCCCACCATGAGCTCAGAAGGAAGATGTGTGCCGAGGAGGTGGGGGCCAGAGAGAATATTCTAGACCAGACAGGGGTGGTCTGGATAGGCTTCTGAGGGGGTGGGTTTGGAGGAGGGGCAGGTGGCCGAGGAGGGGGGAAGCAGGGGAGGAGCCAGCCTGCCTGTGTGTGTCAGAGTGTGTGCCTCTCACCCGTGTGCATTGGTGTGTGCATGTGTGTGTGCGTGTGTGCCGGGGTGCGTGTGTGTGTGTGTGTATTGGAAGATGCCCACGGAGCGTGTCTGCATGAACTAGGATGAGCGTGCATGCTGCACCCTGTCAGGGGACTGGGCATGAGGCGCTGGGGAGGGCGGGCTGACCGCACACCCTGGGAGGGCCGGGCCGTGAGAAGCTTTCCGAGATGACAGGGCAGAAGTGGGCTGGGGAGGAGGAAGGATCCGTGGGCGGGACTGGAGTGCCTCTGGTTTTGCTGTCTCTCATGCTGTTTCCAGAACAAATGTGTGCCCTCAGCAAGGATGCTGGTTCTTCAGAGGCGTCAACACAGGCAGCCGGCACCCCACTTCCCTCCCAGAAATCCCCCACGCCTTCTAGCTGGTGCGGGAGCAGGGGGATCTCCTGTTACCCCTGCCCTGCTGCCGTCAGTTGGCCACCCGCCCCGCCACCTTAAGGAGGGGCAGAGTCAGGGACCAGCCCCGAGGGGGTGGCTCACCCCAGCTTCACTTCCCCCAGCCCTCCTCAGGCAGCCACTGTGCAGGCTTTGGCAGCAGGGGTCACACACTCCACCCGGGAGGCCAAAGCTGCCTGCAGGTCAGTGCCGCCTACTGCCCTAGGGGCCTCCCAGTGGGGCAGGGGCGTGATGGGGTCTCAGAGCGGAGTGAGGATGTGATGCGGTCTCAGGGCCGGGTGAGGATGTGATGGGGTCTCAGGGCCGGGTGAGGGTGTGGTGGGGTCTCAGGGCCGGGTGAGGGTGTGGTGGGGTCTCAGGGCCGGGTGAGGCCGTGGTGGGGTCTCAGGGCCGGGTGAGGCCGTGGTGGGGTCTCAGGGCCGGGTGAGGCCGTGGTGGGGTCTCAGGGCCGGGTGAGGCCGTGATGGGGTCTCAGGGCGGGGTGAGGATGTGATGGGGTCTCAGGTGGGGTGAGGATGTGATGGGGTCTCAGGTGGGGTGAGGATGTGATGGGGTCTCAGGGCGGGGTGAGGATGTGATGGGGTCTCAGGGCCGGGTGAGGCCGTGATGGGGTCTCAGGGCGGGTGAGGCCGTGATGGGGTCTCAGGGTGGGGTGAGGATGTGATGGGGTCTCAGGTGGGGTGAGGATGTGATGGGGTCTCAGGGCGGGGTGAGACCGTGATGGGGTCTCAGGGCGGGGTGAGGATGTGAGGGGGTCTCAGGTGGGGTGAGGCCGTGATGGGGTCTCAGGGCGGGGTGAGGATGTGACAGGGTCTCAGGGCGGGGTGAGGATGTGATGGGGTCTCAGGTGGGGTGAGGATGTGATGGGGTCTCAGGGCGGGGTGAGGCCGTGATGGGGTCTCAGATGGGTTGAGGCTGTGACGGGGTCTCAGGTGGGGTGAGGCCGTGATGGGGTCTCAGGGCGGGGTGAGGATGTGATGGGGTCTCAGGTGGGGTGAGGATGTGATGGGGTCTCAGGGCTGGGTGAGGATGTGATGGGGTCTCAGGTGAGGTGAGGCCGTGATGGGGTCTCAGGGCGGGGTGAGGCCGTGATGGGGTCTCAGGGCGGGGTGAGGCCGTGATGGGGTCTCAGGTGGGGTGAGGCCGTGATGGGGTCTCAGGGCAGGATGAGGCTGTGATGGGGTCTCAGGTGGGGTGAGGCCATGATGGGGTCTCAGAGCAGGGTGAGGCTGTGATGGGGAGTCTCAGCGGGGTGAGGCTGTGTTGTGGTCTCAGGTGGGCTCGGGCTGTTGGGGGTCTCAGGTGTGGCTGAGGCTGATGAAGGCTCGGAGCCTGTGTGTGGGTAGCAGCTTGCTGGAGTGTGGGACGTGACATCTAAAAACAAGAATAAATACCCCTGCGCTGTGGCCCTCAGGTGAGCGGCTGCTTTGGTGAACTTGTGTCACTCACAGCCCCATCCTGGGTCTGGGGTGTGCTGTGTGGGGCCCAGGCCCAGTGGGGTGCGCTGTGTGGGGTCCAGGCCCAGTGGGGTGTACTGTGTGGGGTCCAGGCCCAGTGGGGTGTGCGGTGTGGGACCCAGGCCCAGTGGGGTGTGCGGTGTGGGACCCAGGCCCAGTGGGGTGTGCCAGGCCCAGTGGGGTGTGCGGTGTGGGGCCCAGGTCCAGTGGGGTGTGCTGTGTGGGGCCCAGGCCCAGTGGGGTGTGCTGTGTGGGGCCCAGGCCCAGTGGGGTGTGCTGTGTGGGGCCCAGGCCCAGTGGGGTGTGCGGTGTGGGGCCCAGGCCCAGTGGGGTGTGCTGTGTGGGGCCCAGGCCCAGTGGGGTGTGCTGTGTGGGGTCCAGGCCCAGTGGGGTGTGCTGTGTGGGGTCCAGGCCCAGTGGGGTGTGCTGTGTGGGACCCAGGCCCAGTGGGGTGTGCGGTGTGGGGCCCAGGCCCAGTGGGGTGTGCTGTGTGGGGCCCAGGCCCCGAGGGTCACAGGTACGGGGCACTCTTTGGTGCCTGGGCCACAGGGATCTGCACCCCCACTCCGTGCCCCCACGTCTTCAGCAGCGGATGGGGCCTGTGCTCCCAATACCAGGCCAGCCAGGTACTCGGAGGTCTGGGTGGGTCCCTGGTCCAGACAGTGGGAAGGGCTGGCGAGGGGCTCCAGTGTGGCTGGGCTGCCTGTCTACGGCCAGGTTTCTCTCCTGGATTGCTCAGTGCAGAATCAAAGGGCACTTTTCTGCTTTTGTGTGCAGAAGCCGAGGCTGACCTTGTCATCAGAAGGGGAAGCGGGGCTTCCTACGCGTGCTGCTGGCTCCTATCCCCACAGCCTCCTGGGCAGGAAGTGGAAAGGCCCTATCCCCATGGTCCCCGGCAGCGGGAGCTCCCTGAGGCTGATGGTGTTGGTGTCTGTTGAGGAAGACCAGGCCTGAGGATCTGAGGTGGGAGGCCAGCTACGGTCCGCAGCCTGGATGGATTCCTGCGCGGGGCTGGGGCAGTAGGTAGGCATCTGTGCTGGCCATGTTAGCTCCCGGGGCCCCATGCCGTCAGGGCTAAAACCTGGGCCTTGATTTCCTGAACTTTTTTAGGAGGCACCCCAGGGGCAAGACAAGGACCCATGAACAGGGCACTTCTTCAAAGCCTACGTACACCTTGAAACTCTTGCAACATTTGCATTTTTCTCCCTAATAGTCCAGTGTTTGTTTTATTATAAACGGGAAAATTTAAATATTGTAGTTAGACTTTTTTTCTTCTTCTTACAGACAAGGTTTCACTCTGTCTCCTAAGGCTGGTGTGCAGTGGTGCCAGCATAGCTCACTGCAGCCTCGACCTCCTGGGCTCAAGCGATCTTCCTGCCTCAGCCTCCTGAGTAGCTGGAACTACAGGCACGCGTCACCAGTCCAGCTAATTATTATTATTATTATCATTTTTTTTTTGGTAGAGACGGGGTGTCCCTATGATACCCAGGTTGTTCTTAAACTTCTGGCCTCAAGTGATCCTCCTGTCTCAGTCTCCCAAAGTGTTAGGATTACAGGCGTGAGCCACTGTGCCTGGTCTGCAGTTAAACATTCCCCCACAGCCACACTGAGGCTAGTAGGCAAGTTACAGCCCTGGGTATGTGTGACCTGACAGCCCCTTGGCAGCCATGGGGAGGGATCTGGGAAGCTGAGGCAACGGGAAGGGGCCCAGGCCCACGAGCTCTTGTGTCCTCACCTCCCACCAGGCAGGGTTCCAGGCTACTCAAGATGAGGCAGCGAAGGAATCGCCCTCTAGCCATGCAGGCCCCTCCCCTCGCCAGGTCTGCACCCTGCCCAAGGCTGGCCCTGGACTTTTGGTGGATTTGAGAGCTCAGGTGGGGAGAATAGGAGGTCAGTCGCACGGAGCCCTCCCCAATGCACAGCGCCTGCCCAGCTCAGGTACCTCTGAGGTGTAGATTCTGAGCAGGTTCTGGGATCTCCTGGTCCCCAGCGGGGGCTGCGGCAGGAGCACAGGACCGACAGGAAGGGAAGATCCCAGCGGTTGGTTCCAGTGGGTTCTGGGGATGTCCTCGGAGCCTCGCCTTGCTCAGGGTCCCTACAAAGATCCCTGGAAGCGGGGCAAGGTGTTGCTCATGAATCAGAGAGAAAGCAAGCAGGACCCTCAAGAAGGGAGGAGAGACCCTCGGGCGGGCGCGCAGCGCTTTGCACTCGGGGGAAGGGCAAGCAGGACCCTCAAGAAGGGAGGAGAGACCCTCAGGCGCGCAGCGCTTTGCACTCGGGGGAAGGGCAAGCAGGACCCTCAAGAAGGGAGGAGAGACCCTCAGGCACGCAGCGCTTCGCACTCGGGGGAAGGGCAAGCAGGACCCTCAAGAAGGGAGGAGAGACCCTCAGGCGGGCGCGCAGCGCTTCGCACTCAGGGGAAGGGCTCCTGAAACTTGGAAGTCAGCAAATGCCCGCCGTACTTCACTGGAGGTGGGAACTAAGGAGACGGAATGAAGTCAGAGGGCAGGATGTTTCTGTTTTTGGCTGAAACCTGTGCCCTGTGTCCCTCATGGACTGGGGACCTGGAGTTCCCGGGGGCCACCATGGGGGAAAGGCATCCCCAGCAGCTGCAGTCACGGGGTTTGGGCGCTCTCCCCTCTCCTGATTTGGGGGAACTTGTGTGCTCCTCTAGGCAGAGGGAGGAGCAAGGCCGTTGGCTGTGGACTGAGTCCTTCCCACCTTCCATAGCAGCCCAGCAGAAAGCCACTGAGGGATGCCCCACAGGACAGCCTGCTGGGAGGGGAGAGTCTTCTCCCACCCCCACCCCTCCAGGCTCTTCCTGGACCCACTGAGGAGCCCGGGCAGTGGGACGTGTGGCTGTGAGTCCCGGACTCTGGGCACTCACCAGCAGCTCCGTCTCATACCTGCCTGTGTGCAACACCAGCACCCCTTATGATGAGGGAACGAGTTTGCCCAGCTGCAGGGGTGGCCGAGTCAGGATGACTCCAGCCCATGTCCAGGACACCAGACTCTGCCCAAGTCCATCCGGGGCTGATCTCAGCCTTCCTGGGCTATGTTGTGGAGGGTGTTGGGGACAGTGAGAGGCTGGCATGGACAGCGGAGGAGTGGCTTTGTGAGTGGTCCTGATAGTGATTGAGAGGAGGATACTCAGTTCCACCCCTGGGCGGCTCCTGAGCAGCACAGCCAGGGCCTGGAGGGGCAGGGCTGCCCTCATGGGCTCTGACCCCTGGGAGCTCAAGGGGTGGGCCCCATATCCCAAATGTGGGACTGGAATGGGGACTCAGGCTGATCCAGGCAGGACCTCCAGAGTTCAGGACTGGGTGGTGAGCTCACAGGGAGGGAGGGGCAGGCCAGAGTCCCAGCTGTCCTGGACTCTGCTGTGGGGAAGGGCCGATGCAGGTGTGGAGTCAAATGTGGGCACCTCTTGCAGCCAGGTCCCGGGAGGGGTGGAGGGGCCACCCTGGGCTTTGTCTGGGAGCCTGGTCTTCCCATCCTTAGACTGACAGGTGCTGCTGCCTCTGAACCCTCCCTGCTGAGAGCTGTGCTGGGTGAGGCTGGCGGCCCTTTGTTCCCTGTCCAGGATTTGCGTTCTGGAGGGTAGGGCTTGCTGGGTTGGGGACTGGAGGGGGACGTGGAGCTCCTTCTGCCTCCCTTCCTGCCCCATAACAGCAGGCAGGTCCCAGGACAGAAGGGCTCAGGAGATAGGAAGAGGATCCGTCCAGGGGTTAGACCTCGAGGGTGACTTGGAGTTCTTTACGGTATCCATGCTTTCTTTGAGGAGTTTTGTGTTTGTGGATGTGAGGCCGAGGTGGGCGGAGTGGGGGCAGTGCCTCGCTCCTCCTGCTCGCCCTCTGCTGACCTCCAGCTCCCTCTGCAACCCCAGGACCATGAACGGCACCTACAACACCTGTGGCTCCAGCGACCTCACCTGGCCCCCGACGATCAAGCTGGGCTTCTACGCCTACTTGGGCATCCTGCTGGTGCTGGGCCTGCTGCTCAACAGCCTGGCGCTCTGGGTGTTCTGCTGCCGCATGCAGCGGTGGACGGAGACCCGCATCTACATGACCAACCTGGCGGTGGCCGACCTCTGCCTGCTGTGTGCCTTGCCCTTCGTGCTGCACTCCCTGCAGGACACCTCGGACACGCCACTGTGCCAGCTCTCCCAGGGCATCTACCTGACCAACAGGTACATGAGCATCAGCCTGGTCACGGCCATTGCCGTGGACCGCTACGTGGCCGTGCGGCACCCCCTGCGCGCCCGTGGGCTGCGGTCCCCCAGGCAGGCTGCGGCCGTGTGCGCGGTCCTCTGGGTGCTGGTCATCGGCTCCCTGGTGGCTCGCTGGTTCCTGGGCATGCAGGAGGGTGGTTTCTGCTTCAGGAGTACCCGGCACAATTTCAGCTCCATGGCCTTCCCGCTGCTGGGATTCTACCTGCCACTGGCCGTGGTGGTCTTCTGCTCCCTGAAGGTGGTGACTGCTCTGGCCCAGAGGCCACCCATTGATGTGGGGCAGGCAGAGGCCAGCCACAAGGCTGCCCGTATGGTCTGGGCCAACCTCGTGGTGTTTGTGGTCTGCTTCCTGCCCCTGCACGTGGGGTTGACGGTGCGCCTCGCTGTGGGCTGGAATGCCTGTGCCTTCGTGGAGATGCTCCGTCGTACCCTCTTCATAACCAGCAAGCTCTCAGATGCCAACTGCTGCCTGGACGCCATCTGCTACTACTACATGGCCAAGGAGTTCCAGGAGGCGTCTGCATTGGCCGTGGTTCCCAGTGCCAAGGCCCATAAAAGCCAGGCCTCCCTGTGTGTGACCCTGGCCTAGGAGGCATGCAGAGAGCGCTGTGGGCCAGGTCTTGGGGGCTCCGGGAGGTGCTGCTTGTCAGGGGAAGATGGGACCAGTAGCAAGGAGCCTGGGATCAGTCCTGAACTCACTGTGAGCTCTCTTGGAGCCTTGGGTGGGCAGGCATGGCCCAGGTACCTGCTCTCTTGGGAAGAGAGAGGGACAGAGACAAGGGCAAGAGGACTGAGACCAGAGCAAGGCCAATGTCAGAGACCCCCGGGATGGGGCCTCACACTTGCCACCCCCAGAACCAGCTCACCAGGCCAAAGTGAGTTCCTGCTGGCTAGGGTGCAGCCTTGAGGACACCTGCTGCCACCCCTCGGGGCTGGAATAAAACTCCCCACCCAGAGTCAGTCCTGGTGGGGCCCTCTGTGTTGCCTACTCATGTGATGGGAGGCGGGGAGGGAGTGCGTGGCTCAGAGGGCCAGCGGACATCTTCCAGGGACCCTTTGGGGCTCTTCACTCTGAGGCCCCCTTGGACCCTTTGACACTTTCCCACCCCCACCATCTGACGCGTGAGCAGGGGCTGTTGGAAGCTCCTGGCAGGACCTCACTAGAGGCCCCTAGCCCAGGTTTCCTTGCTCACAGAAGGGCTGGGAGTGGCTTATCTCCATGTAGGAGCTGCACAGTGGTGCAAGGAGGGGGGACCAAAGTCAAGCAGGTGAGGGTGGGTTGGGGTGGGTGGCAGTGAAGGGGTGGCCAGGATCTGCCAGGGGACCCAGCCCTCTTCTCCTTCCTTCAGGGAAAGGCTGGAAACCATGTCTGGCAGGGGTAGGGCTTGGGTGCCCACCCAGGTAAAGGCGGGATGTCCTGCAGGTTTCTGACTTTCCTGTACTTCTACATGGAGGGCATCTCGAACCCCAAGCTGGAAGGACGGGGCACTCCAGAGACCTCCTGCGAGTGTGGGCCAGCATGGCCTGGGCTCAAACCCCATCCTGTCATCCCATATTGCATGTCCACAGGCACCGCTCCACCCTGTTCCACGTTCCACAGGACTGGAGAGAAATGGCAGTCATGTTGTGGCAGGGACATGGCACAAGCACGCAGCCGATGGCATCTCACAGGACCCCAGGCTCTGGAGAGCCCATACCCAGGAGAGCCCCATAAGGGCCCCGTGCCTAAAAGGGTGCATCCCAGGTGGGCCCATGCTCAGGAGGGTCCATGTCTAGGAGGCTTCTGTGCCCAGGAAGGTCCATGCCCAGGAGGGTCTGTGAGCAGGAGGGCCCCACTGTCAGGAGGGTCCTGTGCCCAGGAGGGTTCTATGCTCAAAAGGGTCCCATGTCCAGGAGGGTTCATATCCAAGGGTGTCCATACCTAGTGGGGGGTCTATGTCCAGGAGGGTCCCATGCCCGGGAGGGTCCATGCTCAGGAGGGTTTATGCCCAGGAGAGTTTATGCCCAGTAGGGCCCCATGCCCAGGAGGATCACGTGCACAGAGGGCCCTGTGCCCAGGAGGATACATGTCCAGGAGGTTCCATGCCCAGGAGGCTCCATGTCAAGAAAGATTCATGCCTAGGAGCATTCATGTCCAGGAGTGTCCCTGCCTAGGAAGGTCCATGACCAGAAGGGCCCATGTCAAAGAGGGTTCATGCCCAGGAAGGTCCAGCCCAGGAGGGCCCATGTCCAGGAGGGGTCCATGCTGAGGCGGGTCCCTGCCCAGGAGGGTTCGTGTCCAGAAAGGTCCATGCCTAGGAGGGTCCATACACAACAGAGCCCTGTGCCCAGGAAGGACCATGTCCAGGAGAACCCCATGCCCAGGAAGGTCCATGTCCAGTAAGGGCCATGCCCATGAAAGCCTCATGCCTCATGCCTAGGAAGGCCCATGCCCAGGAGGGCCCATGCCCAGGCCAGTTAATGCCCAGGAAGGTTTATGCCCAGGAGGGTTCCATGCCTAAAAGTGTCCATGCCCAGAAAGGTCCATGTCCAGAAGAGTCCATACTCAGGAGGGCTGATATGGTTAGGTTTTGTGTCCCCACCCAAATCTCATCTTGAATTGTAATCCCTATAATAACCATAGTGCCCCTGCATCAAGGGAGAGGCCAGGTGGAGGCAATTGGATCATGGGAGCTGTTTCCCACATGCTGTGGGAATGTGGGAAATACATGTGGAAAATAATGAGTGAGTTCTCATGAGATCTGATGATTTTATAAGGGGCTCTTCCCCCTTCACTTGGCACTTCTCCTTCCTGCTGTCTTGTGAAGAAAGTTCCTTGCTTCCCCTTCAACTTCTGCTGATTGTAAGTTTTCAGAGGCATCCCTAGCCATGCTGAACTGTGAGTCAATTAAACCTTTTTCCTTTAAAATTACCCAGTCTTAGGCAGTTCTTTATATCAGTATGAAAACAATGAAAACAGACGAATGCAGCAAATTGGTACCACAGAGAGTGGGGTGCTGCTGTAAACATACCCAAAAATGTGGAAGCAAATTTGGAACTGGGTAATAGTCAAAGGTTGGAACAGTTTGGAGGGCTCAGAAGACAGAAAGATGTGGGAAAGTATGGAACTTCCTAGAGACTTGTTGGATGGCTTTGATCAAAAAGCTGATAGTGATATGGACAATGAATTCCAGGCTGAGGTGGTCTCAGATGGAGATGAGGAATTTGCTGGAAACTGGAATAAAGGTGATTCTTGCTGTGCTTTAGCAAAGAGATTGGCAGCATTTTGCCCCTGCCTTAGACATCTGTGGAACTTTGAATGTGAGAGAGATGATTTAGGGTATCTGGCAGAAGAAATTTCTAAGCATAAAGCATTCGAGAGTGCTCTTAAAAGCATTCAATTTTATGCATTCACAAAGAGATGATTTGGAATTGGAACTCACATTTAAAAGGGAAGCAGAGCATAAAAGTTTAGAAAATGTGCATCCTGACTATGGGATAGAAAAGAAAAACCCATTTTCTGAGGAGAAATTCAAGCCAGCTGCAGAAATTTGCATAAGTAACTAGGAGTCACATGTTAATAGCATAGACAATGAGGGAAATGTCTCCACGGAATGTCAGAGGTCTTCACAGCAACCCCACCCATCACAGGCCTGGAGGCTTAGGAGGAAAAAATGGTTTTGTGGGTGGGGCCCAGGGCCTTGCTGCTTTGTGCAGTCTCAGGACTTGGTGCCCCACATCCCAGCAGTGGTTAAAAGGGACCAATGTACAGCTTAGACCTTTGCTTCAGAAGGTGCAAGCCCCAAGCCTTGGTGGCTTACATGTGGTATTGGACCTGCAGAAGTTTGCTGCACTGGTGGAACCCTCATGTAGAACCTCTGCTAGGGCAGTGTAGAAGTGATACATGGGGTTGGAGCCCCCACACACAGTCCCCACTGGGGCACTGCCTACTGCTTGTGGAACTGTGAGAAGAAGGCCACTATCCTCCAGACCCCAGAATGGTAGATCCACTGATGACTTGAACTATGCACCTGGAAAAGCCACAGACACACAACACCAGCCTGTGAAGGCAGTTGGAAGGGATGCTGTACCCTGTGAAACAACAAAGGTGGAGCTGCCCAAGGTCATGGGAGCCCACCTCTTGTGTGAGCCTGACTTGGATGTGAGACGTGGAGTCAAAAGAGATCATTTTGGAGCTTTAAGTTTTGACTGCCCACCTGGATTTCAGACTTGCATGGGGCCTGTGGCCCCTTGATTTTGGCCAATTTATCCCATTTGGAATGGGTATATTTACCTAATTGCCTGTACCTCCACTGTATCTAGGATGTAACTAACTTGCTTTTGATTTTACAGATTTGTAGGCAGAAGGGACTTACCTTGTCTCAGATGACACTTTGGTCTTGGACTTTTGGGTTAATACTGGAATGAATTAAGACTTTGGGGGACTCTTGGGAAGGCATGACTGGTTTTGAAATGTAAAAGAGACATGAGATTTGGAAGGGGCTAGGGGTAGAATGGTGTAATTAGGCTTTGTGTCCCCACCCAAATCTCATCTTGAATTACAGTCCCCACATGTCAAGGGAGAGACCAGGTGCAGGTAACTGAATCATGGGGGCAGTCTCCCCCATGCTATTCTCATGATAGAGTTCTCATGAAATCTGACAGTTTTATAAGGGACTCTTTCCCATTGGCTTGACACGTCTTCTTGCTGCCTTGTGAAGAAGGTGCCTTGCTTCCCCTTCGCCTTCCACCACGATTATAAGTTTCCTGAGACCTCCCCAGCCATGCTGAACTGTGAGTCAGTTAACTCTTTCATTTATAAACTACCCAGTCTCGGGCAGTTATTTATAGCAGTATGAAAACAGAATAATACAGGGGCCCATGCCCAGGAGGGTCCATGCCCAGGAGGGTCCATGCCTGGGGGTCCCTCCCAGGAGGGTCCATGTCCAGGGGTCCCTGCCCAGGAAGGTTCATGCCCAGGAGGACCCATGCCCAGTAAAGTCATGTTCAGGAGGATCTATTCACAGGAGAGTTCATGCCCTGGAGCATCCATGTCCAGGAGGGGTCTGTGCCCAGGATGGTCCATGCCAACCAAGGAAGATCAATGCCCAGGATGACCCATGCTCAGTAGGGTCTATGTCCAGGAGGATCCATACCCAGGAGGGGCCACACCCAGGAGGGCCTACACCCAGGAGACCCCATGCCCAGGAGACTCCATGCCCAGGAGGGTCTATACCCAGGAAAGTCCATGTCTGGGGGCCAGGAGGGCTCATGCCCACAAGGACCCATGCCCAGTAGTGTTCACAAGGGCCTATTCACAGGAGGGTCCACATACAAAAGAGCCCTGTACCCAGAAGGGCCTATGCCCAAGAGGGATCCATGACCAGGAGGGTCTATGACCAGTAGGGTACATGCCAACCAAAGAGGGTCCATGCCAACCAAGGAAAGTCCATGCCCAGGAGGGTCCATGCCCAGGAGCGTCCATATCCAGGAGAACCCATTCCCAGAAGGGTCCATGCCCTTGGAGGGTCCATGTCCAGGAGGTCCCATGCCCAGTACTGTCCATATCCAGGAGGACCCATGCACAGTAGGGTCCATGTCCAGGAGGGCCCAGGCCCAGGAGGGTCCTATGTCCAGGAAGACCCATATTTAGTAGGGTCCATGCCCAGGAGGGCCCATTCCTAGGAGGGCCCATGCCCAGGAGAGCCCATATCCAGGAGTGGTTATGCCCAGGAGGGCTTGCACTCTATAGGGCCCTGTGCTCAGGAGGGCCCATGCCCAGGAGGCCCTGTGCTCAGCTGGGCTCTACCTACTTTAATGCAACACTGTCCTGAGCTTCCTGATTTTTCAGAGGCCCTGGGTTCTTGTTTTGTGCAGCCTGCATTTCCTCTGGTCTGCAGGGGTATCTCAGGACTGGGCAGTGTGGTCCCCATTCCAGAGGCTCTAGAGGCCTCTGTCCCCCTCTGCCTTCAGGTAGGCTA